TTTATTTAATTTGATTTTCCTTTATTTGATTTGAATTTTTTAAAAATTTAATTATTTGATTATGTCAATAATTAATAATATAACTAAAATTATAAATTTTTGCTGCTTTCATATATATTTCAGTAACATAATGCATAAATATTAGACAAAAGATTTACAAAAATTAGGATACATCAAGTATATCTGTTTTAAGTTTTTGAATTTTTTTTCCCAAACTTTATCAATTTTTCAAAAGAAAATTAAATCAAGAATAGAAAAAAAAAGAAAAATTAAGGGGGAAATAACAATTTTATCAACTTTATCCTCCTTACTAATGTCTTCTTTATATTCATAGATGTGCTTGTAGCATTTTGATTTTTTCCATGTGGAAATTCACTAGTAACTTTCTTAAATATTTCTTTTAACAAATAAATATTTCGTCAAATACTTTTAAGTCTATTATTTCAAAGACTTCCATTATTTGTCTTTTAAGTCTATTATTTTAAAGACTTGCATCATTTATTATTTCCAATCAGATAATAATATTAATTGATAACGATGACTAACCCGATTGGCTGGAAAAAAATCAGGAAAATTTAGGGAAAATTAGGAAATGGTGTTTTGGCAATATGATGTGGCAAATATATTTGCTAAGTATTTCAAATATTAAAAAAAAAACTAGTATTTGCGACAATTTCTAATATTTGAAAATTTTAAGAAATTCAATCTCATCTATTTTTTTTTATTTTCATAAAAAGTACTCATCATTTATCAGTTCCAACTAATATTTATTACTACGTCTTCCAAAAAGTTTGAGTTCAAATTTGAGTGAGAAAATTGAGAAAAAAGATGTAACATCTCGCAACTAAAAAGAAACTAGAAGGAAGTGTAGAAAATTGGAAATATTTATTTTTTGAAATGAATTGAAAAGCTTGAAATTTGACAAGTTAAAGTGAGTTTTTGGTCAATTTTAAATGGTTATAACTTCTAGCTAACTCAGGATGTGTTAGGTGTACTTTCAGATATGATTAGAAAGTCGTTGGAATAATTTTTTCAGCACCGCTAAATTTCGATTCGAATAATTCTTTAGCAATAACATTCATTTGGCACTACTGTTAACTCTGAATCCTTTCTAAATCACCACTCTCTTCATTCCATACTAATTGAATCTTTAAGATATTTTATATTTTTTAAGAAAATTAGATTAAGATATAAATTGAATATAATTTTTCAATTTTTATCTTTATAAATTATTATCAAATTCATAATTAAAATAACTAAATATTAATAAACCACTAATTTCAATACTAACTAATGAAGAATAAATTGAAAAAACACTCTAAAGTAGTCTTGAAAATCAAATAATTAAATTAATTTAAAAAATGAAAAATATCCCAAAATTTAATTATGCGTATGTATTTGCCGTTTGCGTCTTGATGGCTAAAATTCATTTTACTTTGATTGGAATCTAGCTATTAGTTTTATTCTTAATTTAACTTTTTTTTAATAATAAATTCAACTTTCTTTAATATAATAAATTCAACTTTCTTTAATAGACTTGTAGTCATATTTGTTCAAATGCATCAAATAATGAATCTGGTCCATTAGTTGGTTGTGATACACAGTGGACCTGATCCTTTCACTACATCAAAAATAATATTTAGCGACAATAATTTAATTGTAACTAAATATATATTTCTAGCAGCAATTACAATTTTTTGTAAATGTCTCTTAAATTTTTAGAGACATTAGATTCGACGATAATTAACTTATACATATAAATGTTCTAATACTCTTTATTAATGTGTATATTTATTGTCATGAAATGACGTTTTTGTTATAGTGTTTAGTTAGTTAAGATTATTTTAAGTAGTTAGTTCCTTAGGAAATGAGAATTCAAATTATAAAATATTTTTTAGATTGTGCTAATAAGACTCAAGTACAAAGCTCGTTTTGAATGTAATACAACTTTTCGATAAATCAATACTATTCATTAATGGAATTGTGAGTATGTGATCTCACATTTTGTCAATTTTTGCTAGTGAAATCCCTATAAATAATTAATAAAAAAATTGTTACTCTTAATTGAGAAGCATGTTATAATCAAAATGGGAGATATTCTTAACTATCTAACTTTAATTTTGTTTCCCTTCTTTAAATTGTATTTATCAATCACTAGTAATAAAATCCTGACTTATTTTAATTTTAAAAAAAAGCTAACAGCTAAATAAAATTGTAAGATAAAGTTAGCTAAAAATTTATAAGTTAATCATTTTTAATTTATGACTTTTCAATTTATAGGTACTTTTATTTCACAAAAAATTTAAAAACTATTTTATTTTACTTAATTCTCAAATATATTGCTAAATATTAAAACTCCTAAATTTCTTTTCACTTTGTAGCTGTCTTTTCTTTAAAATTAAAAATTAATCTTTACTTTCTAAAGAGGACCAAGTTTATTAATATTGTGGACCAACTTTAGAAAGTAAAGATTAATTTTGAATTTTATAGCGTTGAATAAAAAATATGTAAAATATATTTAACATTTTTTAATTTTAAAATCTTAAATATATCATATAAAAAATTAAAATTAAAATATTGTAAAATGATTAACGTCCCTTTTTGAAAGGATTAATAAGTAAAATAAAAGTAAACAAATTAAAATAAGGAAATAATTCTTACAGGCTCCCTATTTGTTTCAATCTTATAGTTTTAAATATTTTAAATTATTGTATGAGTTTTTAAAATTTAAAAATTTAAAATGTTGAAATTTTCGATGTGGATACAAAATAGTTACCAAACGTTTTGACTATAGTGATGACTTCATGCTATTCAGGATGATTGCTATATGCTACGTACCTACATACTAGTCATATTTAATTTTAGCATGCAGTTAACCACTCTTTTTCGCCATTAATTTTTGCCACTTTACTATTGCAATTTTGATAATATTATTTTGAGAAAAGACATAAATTTCTGTTTAAATTTATTTTGAAAAGTCAGTTATACATTTAAGCTATTATGACGATTTATTATATATTTATACTATCTAAAAGTAAACTTATATCATCCTACAAGGTGTTACCTCTCTCACATTATGTGGTATATTACGCTAGCTGCCACATCAACGATACGTCAACGCCATGTCACAAAATAACTTTTTCTTTTGCTTGCTATATTTTATATTAATTAGTTTCTAATTAATTATAAATTTTTCTAATAGTTTTATCTTCTTCATAGCATAATTGCAAAGAAGAAGTTTTTTACAATGATCGTCAAGAAAACATTCTGAAATTTGAAGTTGATTTGTATGGTTAAATAATTTCTTTCGTTCCAACATGAACCTCAGAAAGACTCCTTCAATTTCTTCCATTGATTGACCATGAAAATCGAGGTCCAATTGCAAGTATTTTTCAGATTCAAACACAATTTTTACTTTTTCATTGTTCTTCATGGACGTTTCTTAAAATATAGTAATGATGGGAAAATAATTTCCTTTGCTTTTTCAATCGATCGTTCATCGAGTTTATTAAACAGTTCAACCATAGCTCCACGACGAAGAATCCCCAAACTTTTACCCTCCGATGACATAAACAAACACAAATCAAACCCACAAAACTTAATTATGTCACCTAGTACTATTTTGATTTCTTGTTGGGACATTTATGGGTAAAAGATGATGTTTTGAAGTGACTTATTGTTATTGCCTCTTGTTACCGATTCCTTTAAGCTTTTTTGGGTGTGAAGAATATGAAAAGAGTGTGGTATGAAGAAGAAGAGATGTAAGGGGCGGGTGTGTGTGTGTATGAGGTACGAAGAAGAAGGGAGGTGGGGGTTGGGGATATAAGGAGAATTATGTTTTTTTTTAACTTTTTTTTTTCTAGTAATTATTTGAAGCACCTGATTTATTTTTATTTTATTTTATCACGTCGATTTTAGGGGGTAAAAAATTAACTTTTGAATAGTATAGGTATGTAATAGGTAGTCATGATAATTTGAGTGACTGACTTTTCAGTACAAGTTCAGGTGGAATATATGCCTTTCCCTATTATTTTTTTAATCTATTGATCAATCTAGCAAACGTCGACGTTTAGGGACTAAGAATTTCTATGGATTGACTTTAAAAAAAATAGCTTTTAAATAAAAAATAAAAAAAAATTAAATTTGAATAATTGTTTAATTAAAAAAATATAAAGTGATATGAACTTGAGACTTCCATAATCTCTATGGATTGACTTCAAAAAATAGCTTTTAAGTAAAAAAAATAAATTAAATTTGAATAATTTTTTAATTAAAAAAATATAAAGTAATATGAACTTGGGACTTCCATGTTGGAAGTCTCAAGTACGAAACCTCTTGCCAGCGAAAGCAAGGGGTTTACCTTCTGGGTCGAGCTCGTCGTATACGGCTTGCCTAGTGCGGGTTACCTTTCCTATGTGATTTGCGAGCTATTGCGTAGGAGCGGGGGTTTACCCTGTGCACATTCAAAATTGCTATTAAAAATTGCTTATTTTCATAAACAATTTTTTAGAAAAATGCTTTTGAAAAAATAAATAAATTCTGTTTCGATATTGTTTTAGGGTTAAAATATTTAATTATTATTTTTCTTCTTTTCTTTAATGTTGCAAAAATATTATTGTTATCTTTTTTCTAATAGTATAAAATAATACGTAAATTAAATAATAATACATAAATGTGAAATAAAATGTAAAAAAATAAATATAAGTAATAGAATCACAAGTTACTACTCTTCCCATGCATGCTAAACTTGGGCCTTTAATTGATTAGATCAGATTGGCACTGCCTTAAACTGACTCTCTTAATTATAATTAGTTCCACTTTACAAACCTTTTCAACATTTTTTTATATCTTGAAATTAATCATTGCGTTTTATAGTCTTTATTTTAACACGACAGAGAAGGGTAAAACATATATATTGTAATAATTGATTTTATTCATCTCATAATCTCCGCATTTAGCAAGGAGATCGAACAAACATACACAAAGACATAAAAATAAAATATAAAAATAGAGTACAAAAACAATATCACTAAATTAGATAAAATGAAGCTACAAAAGAACTCCGCCTTATTATTTACTATATAAAATTTAATTTTCTTCTTTTTATCATTGTCTCTCGTAAATGAAAATGCCTCCTTTGACCTCAACATTATGCTTTTCCTGCGTAAGAATGTAATATAGTGAATGAGAACACATGATAAAAGCTAACCAAATAAGTAGACAACATAAGTCTTTAATTTATATTAATGTTTTGCATGAAGAAATTGTGCAACTTATTATTGTATTGCATTTTAGTCATATGTTTTTGAAAGTTTTAAGTTTATATTAATTACCTCGTATATAATGAAGAAGTCACTTCTTAGTAATGGTGGGGAGGAGGGGGAGAGGAATAAATATAGTGGGGTGGTGAAGACTTGTATACTGGTGTAGGATGGTGTGGTGTTGGTGAAGGATGGTATGGCTTCACGGGTGGTGGTGGTGATTTGTAAACGGGAGTTGGTGGTGGTGGAGATTTGTACACAGGTGTAGGATGATATGGCTTCACTGGTGGTGGTGGGGACATGTAAACGGGAGTTGGTGGTGGTGGAGAATTGTACACAGGTGTAGGATGGTATGGCTTCACTGGTGGTGGTGGGGACATGTAAACAGGAGTTGGTGGTGGTGGATACTTGTACACAGGTGTAGGATGGTATGGCTTCACCGGTGGTGGTGGTGACTTATAAACTGGAGTTGGTGGTGGTGGAAGACTTGTATACTGGTGCAGGATGGTATGGCTTCACTGGTGGTGGAGGTGACTTGTAAATTGGAGTTGGTGGTGGTGGAGATTTGTATACTGGTGCAGGATGGTATGGCTTCACTGGTGGTGGTGGTGACTTGTAAACTGGTGTTGGAGGTGGTGGTGACTTGTAAACAGGTGTTGGAGGTGGTGGTGACTTGTATACTGGTGCAGGATGGTATGGCTTCACTGGTGGTGGTGGTGACTTGTAAACGGGTGTTGGAGGAGGTGGTGACTTAATAAACTGGAGTTGGTGGTGGTGGAGACTTGTATACTGGTGCAGGATGGTATGGCTTCACTGGTGGTGGTGGTGACTTGTAAACAGGCGTAGGGGGTGGTGGTGACTTATAAACTGGTGGTGGATGGTATGGCTTCACCGGTGGTGGTGGTGACTTGTAAATTGGAGTTGGAGGAGGTGGCGACTTGTAAACCGGGGTGTGTGGAGGATAGTGTGGCTCCTTAGGTGGTGGTGGTGACTTGTAAAGTGGAGTTGGTGGTGGTGGTGATCTGTAAACTGGTGCGGGATGATAAGGTGTTGGTGAAGGGTGGTATGGCTTCTTTGGTGGTGGAGGAGATGAGTATTGATAGTTTGCTGAGCTTTCGGAAGCTAAGCTAAGTGACACTAAAACCACTAAAAGAGTAGCAACTAGAGAGGCCATTTTCCCCATATTTGAAACCAAAGAAGAGAAGTTGGTGTCCTCTTTAAGTTTCACTCAAACCCCTTTATATAGCTTTCATTTCAACAATTACCCTTACCAAGATTTACATAAATGTAGGTAAAGTTTTTATTCATTTTTATAATTGGTTTTGTCATGTTGTTGGCTCAATTTGACTTTATTTATTGGATAGAGGGTGCAAGCTAAGCAAAAATGTATAAACTATTAAGACAACCATACAATTTTCTTTACATCTTGTGATGCAATAATTCAAAGAGCTACAAAGTCTTCTTTTTCTTCCAAGCTTTTACATTACATACATACAAAATCTTTGAAAAAAATGCGTGCATCCCTCAAACTTCGCACGATTTTTAGTTACAAAAATCAGTGTACACTGCCTTTTTTTTAAAAATTTTTTTGTTACAAAATATTTGAAGAATTCTATTTTTATGTGTCTCATATTAGTTGATTATTTTTATTAAGTAGCTAGATAATATTATTTCACCCATCATTTTTATTAACTAGCTAGATAATTTTATTAATTCACCCCTTGAAAACTTCTTTTACATTTTACAAACAAATGTTAATACTTTCAAAAGAATTATCTGAATAGATAATATAGGAAAAAATTAATTATTGATTTCTTGATTTAATAAGATGGACAATTAATGTGTAACAATTATTTTTAGTAAGATGATCAACTACTATGAAACGAACTAAGGGAGTAACAATTTATTTTTTTTTTATTTTGATTGATAAACTAACCTTTAATTACCTTTAGTGCTTAAATAGTATAGAGATTTAAAACAATAATACATATATACACTATATTAAAAATAATCATTATTGGCAATTAATTTTCAAACGTCGCCAAATAAGTGTTTTTAGCGGCAATAACTTTCTTTGTATGTGTCCCTAAAGCCTTTAGCAACATTGGTTCTAATGACACTTAACTGATACCGATAAAGACTTTAACACTCTTTATTAATGTCAATATCTAATATTACTAAAAGTTATATATATATAACCCTTCGGGGTGGCCCAATGGTTTGAGCTTGAGACTTCCATGTTGGAGGTCTCAAGTTTGAAACCCCTTGCCAGCGAAAGCAAGAGATTTGCCTTCTGGGTCAAGCTCGTCGCACCAGGCTTGCCAAGTGCAGGTTACCTCTCCTATGTGATTTGCGAGCTATTTTATAGGATAGCGGCTCAGGTTTCCTGGTTGTCAAAAAAATAAAATAAATAATGACCCACTTTCATTACTAAATAAAGCAATTAATGTTGTTCTTTCTTTTTAGTTTTAGGTGGGAATAGAGGGCAAAAAATTCAACGGATTATGTAGCTCAATATTGAAAAAATTTATATGATTAAATACAATATCTATGAAATTTTTGGTATCTTAGTTTATTATCGTGGGAACACACAAGATGTAGAATGCAGGTCACGATACAAAGTAAAAATTAATTTATTTTTGACTTTATTGACTTAGGTACTTTCAATGTACTCAAATCACTTGAAAATAATTTCTAAATTTCAAGAATCAAACCTTACAACCTAATTAAATTTTGTGAAACTTTAAAGGTACATTGCGTTACTTCATATCGTTGAAGTTAATATTTTGGTAGTATAATTAATTAAATTACACAATTTGATTTAATTACTTAATATATAATTATAGTTTAATTAATTCACTTTATGTTTTATTCCTTGTTTGATATATGTATTTGAGCACAACTAATTTAAATGCGTGTTATATAGGCACATTTTAATAATGTATGTAGTTTTAAATGTAGGAATTTATAGTTCTCTTTAAAATTTGAAAATATGGAATATCTTAAGAAACATAATTAAATGAATCGAATCGGTTGAAGGCTTTATACTTTTCACTTTTATGTGTTTAATTTAAACTTTGAATAAATAATTAACATTATTGATTGCACATTAGTTAAATTTTTATTTTTATTTATAATAAAAGAAAGAAGAGAACAAGCCGTCCCGTTTTAGTCGTTGTACGGTTTTTTAACAGTTAATATAACTAATTATTAAAATTTAAATTTAAATTAAAAATTTAAATATATTATACAAAAATACTTATTTTATAATTTCTTATATCAACAAAACATTAATAAAAATTTTTATTATTTAACTTAAAAAAAGCCATCACGATTTAAGGGAGACAGAAAAAGTATTCAAATACATGGAAGATTCTTGGTTCATCCAATAATGACTTTTGACTTTTTAATTAGAAAAATAATTAATCATTTGTATAACTTAATCACCGACAAAGATAAAATTAGTAAACTCCATATAAGATTCCATTATTAAATAAGCTAAACTAATATTTTTTTAATCGTCCCAAGAGATAGGATGTAAGTATAAACAAGTACAAACCTTAGCTACATTGACCTAGTCAATAATTATTACCGACATATTTATTTATTATAGACAAACATTTGTCCAGCGATCGAGATCTTATGTTCTATTTTCTTTGTTTTTTTTTCCAATTATATATATCTATAATAAAGTTGGAACAATATTAAGTTAAACTTTTATGATTTAAGGGAAGTTTAATCAAATTTGATTAACTTACGTAAACTTCATAATGTAAAGAATACATTATATTTTATCTCTATTTTTTTCTAATAAAATGATCCGTTAAAATTTGTACCTTTCGGATGTAGAATTCTCACAGATATGTATGTGAAGAATCAAGGATTATATTGATGAATGAATGATTGATATAGAAAAAAAGTCATATACTACCAAACCTGTTCCATCAGCTTCCTTCAACAAATACATAAGTCACCACCATCTAGATACACTAATTTTAATACAAAAAGAATCTTTCTGTTGCGCTAAAAAGAAAATAAAATCTGAAAACTAATTAAATTCCATAAATTACGCTTATATTTCTTTTTACTCTCAATCATACAGAATCAAATCCATACAGAACGAAGAAATTTAAAATTTCTAGTTGATCCCCCCGTTCAACAAAGAAACCTTTCACATTTGATCCAAAAACTTTTGTCGAAATTTTGGGTAAGCGAAGTGAATTATGAATGATACAAAAGTGACAAAATTGTTGTTGGATAAACAATTTTCTTTTGAATCTTCAAGATCATCAAAGATATTCCTTTCAGTTTTGATTCAAGATTGTTAAAAATTTTGAGATTAAGATTCTTTGTTCTCCAGTTCATCAAAGATCTTTTTAATTTTGATTCAAAATTGTTGTAAATTTTGAGATTCAGAATTCTTCTCCTAGTTTATTGAAGAATCTCAAAAAAAATTGAGAATATTATCATGAATATCTTGTCTACTTAGCATTTTACTTTTATGTATCTTGTTTAAATTGATAAGTATTGTATTTATACTAAATACATTAAATAAATAATTATAGTCCATAAGATGTTGAATTCGAGATTGATACATTACAATGTGGTAGTTGCTATGTAATTAATACATTTAGTATAAATTCGAATTCACATATCAAGTAAAAAAAAATTTTGCATGATACATTACTATTTGTGTATCTCGTCTCAATTGATTAGTATTGTATTTATAGTAGATACATTAAATAAGTAATTGTTGCCCATAAGATGTTACATTTGTGATGGATACATCACCGCGTGGTAGTTTCTATGTAATTAATACATGTAGTCCAAATTCGAATTTATGTATCACATCTAAAAACTAATACATGATACATTATTATTTATTTATCTCGTTTAAATTAATAAGTATCGTATTGTTACGGGATACATTTAACATGTAATTGTTGCTCATAAGTTGTTTGATTTGAGATCGTTACATGTAGTATAAATTAGTATTTATGTATCATGCCGGTATAATTTGACATAGCTATGTATCATATAAAAAAAACTTATGAATATGATAAACAATGATTTAGTTATAAAATAGTACTTCACATACATAACAAACATATGATACATACTCAATTAAATTATAAACGGGAGAGAGAAAAATATCTAAAATTCAAAATATAGGAGATGAAGGTAACTAGTAATATAGTAGAGCGATTATAGGCCTGAAAAAAAGGAGAAATTGTGAGTTGGAAGATTTAAAGTTATGAATCTTGAAAGGAGTGAATTTGAGAGAAAAAAAAGATTTTTGTAATTTTTATAAATGATATGAAATAATAGAAAATAGAATAAAAAAATATATATGTAGTTAGGTAATTTTTCGATTAAATTTAGGTTAGTCCATTATTAAATTTACAAGTCTAATTCAACACAACTCATATTCTCAAACCTAAAGTCGACTAGATCAAATATTTCAAACCCCTAGCTGATGCCTATATAAAAGAATATTCAATAATGATTTGCAGTCTTCTGCATACAACTCTTTTTTGCCTTCAAGTTGTGAGTCGTTTTAGCCTCCTCGAATGTGATTAAAAATTGATTATGCATTCGTGGTAAACTTTCAACAAGTATTCCATCAATTCAAGTAAAAAGCAAAACTTTTGAGTTGATAGTCATGAAGAGAAAAAAAGAAAAAACAAAAAAATTAAACATTTTAGTGTGAAATCTCTAATGATTGTTAAATCGTGCACAAATAAATAAAATTAAATATTATTATTTATTGATATTTTTTATTTTTTGATTATTATTTTTCAAAAACGAAAATTTAATTATTACAATATGCCTTCAACAACTACAATCAGATACGAAATCAGTTGGTTGTCCATTCCTTTTTTTTTAAAAAAAGTGAAAGGTGTAACAATTAAACTTTCATCCCTGAAAACTAATAATCAAGATAAGAGAAATAGGCAAGTAATAATATTTAATTTCAATATTTTGTGTGGGTGCATTGAGGAATTATGTGGGCATAAGTCCAGAGGTTAGATATAATATTTACATTGATTGTTATTGCAACGTGTAATAAAGATAAAAAGTTCAAATAACTAATCAACGAAACTATTAACATTTTCGATTGAAGCTACTAATATTCCCAGTTGATTGTAGCTTATCGTTGAGCTTATTGGTGGTGAAAAACCACATTTTTTATAGCAACTGATTTAATGTAATTGATAAGAGGCTCA